TATATATATATATATATATAGAGAGAGAGAGAGAGAGAGAGAGAGAGAGAGATTAATGGATATCCTTGTCATAGGAGGGGATTTCCTCCTTAATGCCTATGTGGCACAATCCCCACCATCCTCATAAAGTAGGAGAGAGTGTGAGTTGGTGGGAATTTGTGTCTACTTTATGAGGATGATGGGGATTGTGCTACATAGGCGATAAGGAGAGAAATCTCCTCCTATGACAAGGATACACATTAATCTCATATATATATATATATATCCATATCCGTTTTTAGTGGATATGGATATGAATTTTCCTTACCAAGCATATACATATGTAATCAGATACAAATATGGTAAGTATCATATCCAAGCCATATCCGAACCGTTTGTGCCCTTACTTGCTAGGAGGACTAGCTACTCTTGTTATCTAGTTGACCAGGTTGAGAATGCTAAGCTGAGAACGCGTGTAGATCTGTAATCTCATAAGTATTAATTTCTAGATTGCCATCCATATTAATGTTATTTCTTCTATAAATTCCATTTTCTATTTTCCTAAGTGATATTTATTATAACTTTTGCGGCAAGAGAAAAATTAGTTACTACCATATATCCACTAATGTAAAAATTTGTTATGCAGTAAAGTGTTCAGAACACTTAGAATCTTCACTTTCTTGGTTCAGATCAAGGTTATCGATAGCGGATCGTCGCGTAGCGGTGAGGCATCGCTAATGCTATTTGGGGTTATTACGGTAAAATAGCGGTAAAAAGTGCAAAATCAAATAGTGATCTAATTTAGATATGTGTAAATACTAAAAAAAGATTAAAGAAAAATCTAGAAAATCTAAAAGTGCATATTTCTAATTTAGATATGTGTAAATACTAAAAAAAGATTAAAGAAAAATCTAGAAAATCTAAAAGTGCATATTTGATGATTTAAAAATACTAAAAAAAGATTAAAGAAAAATCTAGAAAATCTAAAAGTGCATATTTGATGATTTAAAGAGATCTTAAACATGAAATAGACATGTAATTGTCACATAATACCAAAGACGACTTAAGGAGAAGTCAAAGAGTCGTCGTCTTCGAGAAGATGAGCTAAGCGGTGGGAGGACTGCACTAGAAGGAGCTCACGGTGAAGGAGGTGAGAGGAAGTGTTGAGTTAGGTGCCAGAGTCTATGAGAGGCGGTGGGAGCACGCTGAAAATCGCGAGAGGCGGTGGAATGCAGTGGTTAAAGGTCGGGTTTAATTTTAAAAAAATAAACCTTAAACCTCTTTTAAATAGCAGTTAAAAAGCGGATTTTGCATGCAATCGCTCGCTATTTACCGTTAGGGCACACTATTGGCTGCTTTTGCGAACGGAAAACGCATATTCCGCAATATGTTGGCACTATTGGGCGATAGCGTAGCGGGAAGGGACCGCTAACAATATCAGCGCCGCTATTGCGGGGCTATTTACCGCTATTTATAAGAGTGATTTATATAATGACTTTTTATAGAGTTTTTTTTGCCGCTTACACTATTGCAATAACTATCTACATATATCATGTCCATGGGAGTTTAGATTATGAGTTTGCTAATGTTATCTAGTCTTCTTGCTAAGAAGATTTGTTTCATTGTTCCATTATCACCTATTTAGTTTTATTGGGAGTCTATATGAGTTTCATCACTATCGTATAAAATTTTTCTGCATTTTATTTTTATGGAGATCTATACTTGTTCAAAATGATAAAAGTGTAAAGGTCTTTCAATCTGCATTGTATCGTACTCCTTACAGTTCTTTGTTAAATGTAAATGGTCAGTGGAAAAGTTTATGAAGATTAATTGAAGGACACATGAGTTAATCACCAGTCAAAAACCCCAACATCAAGCTGTTGCTAGAATATGGAAACGTAACATTTATGATTGAGGTCATGTATAAAGAACAAATAAATTGATAAACAAACCTTTTTTGGCTGATTTTAATATTTTATGATTGTCTGACCAGGGAGTGTACGCTATGTGAAATTTGTTCTGCACTGAAGAACTCGAATCCCTGGCATCAAGATGCACTCTATTTCCTCAGAACAAAAAAGCTAGACTTTCAAATTGACTTATAGATAATGTCACTACCATTTGTAATCAGACCAGTTTGATCCTTCAACCTACCATTAATGGATGCTCCAAACCAATATAAATTCAGCTAACTTACATTGTTTTCACGGGTGGAAGTTACTGTTTTTTACCCAAAATTAAATAAATAAAAATTGTTGTACCTTTTCTGAGCATTTCTGTCATTCACCTTCTTTTTTTTTTGGCTTCTGGATCTCATGTCCACTATGCTTTAATATCTTTATTTACAGCTCTTCACAGTTCATTGTTCTTGTGCTCACTGTGTATATATTGAAATGGTTTTTATATACAGATGATTATGGAACGTCAATTTCAGCCGGTTATTATTTTCAGCTTTAGTAGAAGAGAGTGTGAACAACATGCTATGTCCATGGCCAAACTTGACTTTAATCTGCCAGAGGAAAAGGAAATTGTTGAGGAGGTTTTCAGTAAGGCAATACTGTGCTTGAGTGAGGAAGACAGAGCTTTGCCTGCCATTGAGTTAATGCTCCCTCTCCTTCAACGAGGTATTGCAGTGCATCATTCAGGACTTCTGCCCATTGTTAAGGAACTGGTGGAGCTTCTCTTTCAGGAGGGCCTTGTAAAAGCTCTTTTTGCTACTGAAACAGTATGTTTAATTCCTTGATTTTTTGTTGAAGATGTTACTAACGTACTTACCCTTTCTAGTAATATGTTGTTCAACAATATATAAGGAGCCTGTTGTTTCTCAACACTACTATTGGAAGTCTGTGTAGAGTGGAATTTTGTTTCAGGAATTGTTTCTTGTTTTTCATTTTCTTGATGATCATATCTAATCGCAACTTTCGAACTGCTCTCTTATCAAATGTGCTCTGAACTTTTTTCTATGTTTTTATGCGCACCACAGTTTGCCATGGGCTTGAACATGCCTGCGAAAACTGTTGTTTTTACATCAGTTAAGAAATGGGATGGTGAAGGCAATCGTCTCATTGGATCTGGAGAATATATCCAGGTAAACACAGAGCATTTGTTTTTTAATGGTCCTATTTGTGCTTATTTATTTATTTATTATTGCTTACATTTGATTTCTTTTCTGTGCATGGATAGATGAGCGGAAGAGCTGGTCGTCGTGGTAAAGATGAGCGTGGCGTTTGTGTGATAATGATTGATGAGAAGGTACATTATGATTAGTGATTATCATACCCTGGAAGTTACTTGACTTTGTCTTAAGGGCTAACTGCGGATAGAGTCCTTCATAATATCTTTGACATATGATCTCTTTTCTCTCCTTTTCTCTTGCAATATTTCTATGGGTTGTCTTCATAAATTGCTTCACGCTAGAAAACCAGACTGACTATTTTATTTCGATATTTGTTCCTAAGTTTTAGTCAGTGGTCCGTAAGTTTGTTTCTCCCACATTATGGTAACGCCATATTCCTCATTTATCTCGTCGTTTGGTATCATAGTTCATATCTTTATTTCTGCAGCAAACTAGAGCGCATGCACACACACATACACATATATATACACTAATGCTATATGAAGATGCTGCCAGTCAAGAGTCTGGAATATCATATAATCTAACAGCTCTGCTAGTTTTCCTCTTGATTGACAACTGTTGAGTTCACTAAGCCTATATTCCCTGCATCTGCATTAAATGGATAACCCGATTTTAGCTTAACTTCTTATATTCATTTTTCTCTTAACATCTTCAGTAAACTACTTCTTCAGCTTTGCTTAAAAAAATTTTCTGATCTTTTCCATAGTGCTTGTTTCCACCATAATAAATATCCATGAATGAAGATTTCATGAAATTCACATTCAAACTTTACAAAGGAAAACACGTGCTTACATGTTTTTCGTAAAATTAAGTGTTTACTTTGACTTTTTTTAACACAAGAAATACAACAATTTTATGATAGAAGTCACTGGCTTTCAGTTTTTATGCAGACTTTCTTTTGTAAATACTTGGCAACTAAACAACTCTGTGTTGCTTTTGTTTCACAACCTTCTATAAGCTTCTCGCCTTTTCTAATTTTAGTTGGTGACTTATATGAATTATCATATTCTTGAAATTAGTTGCAAAAAACTTCTTCTTGTCTCCATCTTTTGTTGCATTGTGTTCAAAAAAATTCACTGCTTAACTGCAACTCTATACTCATGACACGCTTGTTTTATCAATTCCTCTTACACTTCCCTAATTCTACTACCACTCTCTTGACGTTGGTCCATCAGGTTTATGTCATCCTGGATTTGTTTATTTATTTAAAACCTATATTTATTTATTTGAACTTTGTTGACACAAATAGGCATATCTTCCATTTAATCTGCTGGTTCTTATTTATGTTATTTTGTTATTTAATTTTTAGAAGTTAAGTGCTAGCATTTGAAGATTCTTGTTGGAAATATTCAACATGCTTAAACACCAGGAGAGCAATATCCTATTGAAGAAAAGGAGTAGTACTTTCACCAGCCATAAGATTTTACCTTACAAACCTTCTGATGTTTTAATATCAATGGCAGGACATAACCAATCAGCACGTGATGTTTGCTCTCTTTTTCACTTGTGAAAGTTTTGCAATGTTAAGTTGATATTGAAGGCTGATGAAATTTAAATGTGCAGATGGAAATGAATGTTCTCAAAGACATGATTTTGGGCAAGCCAGCTCCCTTGGTCAGTACTTTCAGACTGAGCTATTATTCAATTCTAAATCTAATGAGCCGAGCAGAGGGTCAATTTACTGCCGAGCATGTCATCAAACATTCATTCCACCAATTTCAGTACGAAAAGGTCCTCAAGAACTTATTTGTTTCCTGATTGATTTAACTCTACTACTATGTGCTAATATGCGGTTGAAATTATATTCCTTGGTTCAGTCGCTGCCTGATATGGGAGAAAGGATCTCAAAGCTGGAATCTGAAGCTGCTTTGCTCGATTCTACTGGAGAGGTGATATCTTGACTTAGTGAACACAATTTTCTGTTTCAACATGTATTTTTGTGTATTAACATATAATATATTTATCTCTTTGAAGGCTGAACTCGCCGAGTATCATACCCTAGGACTAAGTTTAGGTCAGCTTGAAACGAAGATCATGTCTGAGATCACTAGACCTGAAAGGGTTCTGTACTATTTGGTTCCTGGTAGGCTGGTATGTATTTAACAGATATCCTGTTTCTTCTTTTGCTGATATTGAATCATATTACACTAATTTACTTTCTGGAATTGGAACTTAGAACTAGAAGAACATCTTCAATTGCTTTTAGGCTTCATATGCAGACTCTATGATATTAGGCTTTTTGCCATGATGAGATTGAGATTGTGGAAATTCAGAACCTTCTTAGCACATATAGTAACACAGTGGATTTATGACAGTATATTCGCTTTTCTTGTAGGAAATCCATTACTCTTATTTTATAATTTGTGGATGTGGTGCAGTTTGTTAGAAAATGTGAAAATTATAAAAGATGGTAAAATTGTGAAGCCTCCTTCATTTATGAGTTGTTTTGAGATAATCTTCATCAACTACTAGACAAGTAAGCGGATCAACTATAAAGAACCTTTATTTGTTGATAAAGCTACGAATGAAGAGGTACTTTGGATACCAAATGCAAATTGCATGAGTTGTGTGTGAGCAGTAAAATCCCCAAATCAGGTTACTAGTGACGTTATTGTTAGTTGAGGGCTCACTTTTTGGTGTAGTATTTGATTCAGTGTTAACTTAAAGCAAGCCAATGAGTGCAGTTTTTATGGAAATTTATTTATAAAAATGGCATCAGGCTTGTGAGGTCTGGTATAAAGTAGAAATAGTTCTGTGATCCTATTCAGATTTTAGTAGAGATGAGCTGTAAACGTAGAAATGAAGCCATGAGAAGGGAATTGATTAACAATCAGATAAAGAAGGAATTGTTTGGTGATCGCATTTAAACGGTTAAAATCGAGCCATTTGAGGTTGTGGTGGGTATTAATGAGAATATTTTTTTTGTGTCAAGTTCTGTGGGTGTAGAAGTTTGCAATGTCATCTTAAAGCTGCAAGTATCTAAAGAGTATCTCATTACCCATTTTGTTTACTCTGTTTTTCTTGGTATTTGTAGTCACAAGATGACATCATAAATACTAAATTAGGTCCATATTTACTTCGTGGTATCCATTATAGTACCTCGAGATTGTGGTGGCGCATGGTTGCAACTATTCTTTTGGGGAAAATGATTATAATTTTCTTTTTGGATATATATTTTCCCACTTCCATGTGAATATTTTTTTCTCTCTTTATTTGCTTTCATTAGGTCGGATTATATTAGTTTAGGAGTGATGTTAGTGTATAGTTGGCTTTTTTTTTGTCTTTTCAAGTAAATCTTTGGTATTGATTTTTATTTTGTTTATATATATTACCAGAATGGTATGAGCTTTTAATCTATTTGAAATTATTTGCTGTTAAGAGTCACCAATGTTCTGCACATTTAAGGTCTTTCTTGCTGCAGATTAAGATCAGGGATGGTGGAACTGATTGGGGTTGGGGAGTAGTAGTAAATGTTGTGAAAAAACCATCAGCAGGAGGCGCTTCTTCTCGTGGTTCCAATTACATAATTGATACCTTGCTACACTGTTCTCTGGGTGTAAGTGAAAATGGTTCTCGCTCAAAGCCATGCCCACCTCGTCCTGGTGAAAAGGGCGAAATGCACGTGGTGAGTTGAAGCTCATGGGAAGAACAATTTTATCAGGGTCAGTTCATGTTACTATTCATCTGGTCGGTGTAGTTGCATGATGATGTTGGAAGTCTTTAACTTGTATGGACTGGATGGGCCAAATTTATTTTACTATTTTTGATCCAATGCAGGTCCCTGTACCATTGTCTTTATTATCTGGTCTCAGTAGTATTAGAATTGCAGTTCCTTCTGACCTTCGACCTGCAGAGGCACGACAAACTGTACTCCTTGCAGTGCAGGAATTGGGAAATCGTTATCCAGTAGGCCTTCCAAAGCTACATCCAGTGAAGGTATGTCTCAAAATTGTTTGTTCCTCTTTCTGATTTGATAGCCAGTATCATATATTCAATGAAATATTATTTATTCCTTTCGCACATGTATTGATGGTAAGTGATAGAAGAACATTAAGAGAGCAGATTTAATCGAACACCTTCCATTTTTTAATGTTTTATTGAAGAAATTCAAATCTTAACCTGCTAACTAATAGATAAAGACCAAATACTCAAATCAGGTAACTAATCCTACCTAATTTAAGAATGAATAAAAAGAAAACCAGTGTCTTAGAAATTTGCCTCTTATGTTATCACCCATTTGATTTTGGTTGGTATAAAGGAGAATTCTCCTGATACCACTGCCTCACCAATCCATGACCTTCTTTTAACTATCTTGACATCCAAGGTATCCTGAAAGCTTCATACATTATAGTACACTTTTCATAGAGCTTGTTACCAGAGTGAGGACAGGGATGTACATATTGAGAGGGTACAATAGGGGTAGCAACAAGTCATTACCCTCAGAGAACATGTTAGATTTTGAAAATAAATACAACCAACATAAACCTAGTGGTGACAAGAACAATGCTCATGATTTATTTGAATATATCCTGTCATCATTCTGTATTTCTTGTTTTGCCTGGCACTCCCTTTTGTTTTTCTGCTTCTATTTGCTGAGAGATATTTTTTAAATTAATGCTATAACCTGTGAAATGCTTCACTGTATGTATTAATCCCTTCTACTTTCCAACTGTTTTCGAAACTTTCACAGGACATGGGCATCCAAGATTCAGAAGTTGTTACCTTGGTTCAGAAAATTGAAGAACTTGAGCATAAATTATTTGCTCACCCATTGCATAAGGTTGACATATCACATAATAGTTCGTCAAAGTTTAATGCTGACTGTATTTTGATCAATGCATATTACTAACTTAGCAATTTCTTTCCATTAGTCTGGTCAAACAGAGCAGCAATTCAAATGGTTTCAAAGAAAAGCTGAGGTGAATGATGAAATTCAGCAGCTCAAGTTAAAGATGAGGGACTCACAGGTAATAATTTCACAACATCTCTTGTAATTCGGAATAACACAAATATATGAGTTTAACTTTGTTTTTTTCCATCTGTTGCATGGCATAAATATTTTGCTGTATGTATGATTATTTTTAGCCTATACAAATTACCGGCTTTAAAATCATGATAAGAGGAACTAGGTCTTACTGTGTATTTTGGACTCGGTTTGTTTTGTTACTCAATTAGAATTCTGTCTAGCCACGTGCTTCAGTGACAACAAAGCTTTTATCCCAACTCTTTTGGGATTGGCTACACAAATTGTTTTCTTCCACAGTTCTATGAAGGACTATCTTCTCAGTTAGATTATTCACTATCATATACTTCTTTGTCACGCCAGCCCTACCTCTTCTCCTCCCAAGTGATGCAAAGTTAAAAGCACATAAAATACTCATAAAATACTTCATACTTTTGCTAAATTAAATGACACTGTTTGAAGTACTGAGAATCTTGATTGTTTGAGCAGCTACAAAAATTTCGCGAGGAACTGAAAAATCGTTCACGAGTTCTGAAAATGCTGGGTCATATTGATGCTGAAGGTGTTGTCCTTCTAAAGGGACGTGCTGCCTGTCTGATAGATACAGGGGATGAACTGCTTGTCACAGAGCTAATGTTTAATGGTGCATCTAAGAGTTTAACTATACATTAACTTTTTTTCTTCTAATAATGGTGTTAACTTGCTAACTAATATATCTGAAAAATATATTTTTTGCAGGCACATTTAATGATCTTGATCACCATCAAGTAGCTGCTCTTGCTAGCTGTTTCATACCTGGTGATAAATCAAATGAGCAAGTCCATTTGAGAAATGAACTTGCGAAACCTTTACAACAGCTTCAGGATAGTGCAAGAAGAATTGCAGAGGTTTATCTTTTCTCCTTGTTCTTACTATTCTTGGATTACACTTTATATGAATGCATAAATGTTGACTTGAACTGGCAGATACAACGTGAGTGCAAATTGGATGTAAATGTAGATGAATATGTGGAATCAACAGTGAGGCCATACTTGATGGATGTTATATATTGTTGGTCAAAGGTCAGTACATTCATCCATTCACTAAAAAATACTTGATATTAACTGAACAGATTAGGAGATTATGGAAATCTTGAAATCATTTTCTTCTTGGACATGGATATATCATAGGCTATTACCCATGATCTATACATTATTAGTCCCCAGTTATCATTTATTTATTTCTTATTTAATTTGCATATTTCAGTACTTCCACTTCAGTTGTGGTTTTGTACTTCAGTTATGATTTCACTATCATATCTGTTTACAATCTAATTTGTACCCTCACCCAACAAGAAAAGTCAACAAAATAAATTTTATTTTCTAATGTTTTTCTAGCAAAAGCATCTCACAGAGATTCAGCTGCAGATTCTAATTATTCTGTTCTTTTATTAGCATGTATATGTGTAGCAGTATTGAACTATCAGTTTTACGAGTTGAATTCTATTTACAGGGGGCAACATTTGCAGAGGTGATTGAAATGACTGATATTTTTGAGGGAAGCATCATACGCCTTGCAAGAAGGCTGGATGAATTTCTGAACCAGGTATTTTGACCATTCTGTTTAATTTTTTGGGGGAAATGCTTCTAGCCACTTGAGTTTGAAAAGTTCATTCTCCCCTCCAAGAAAAAAGTCAAATGCTTAAAACACCCTAGACTCAAAGAAGTATTCTTATGGCCCCCCTATACCACTTCACCTCATCACCCGTTAGTTCTTCCTTTTTTACCCTTATGTCCTCTTTTTCTTCTTTCATCTTTTCTCCTCCTTCACGCACCCAAAAAACATCACCTCACCCGCACCAGCCTGCTGCAACTCACCCTGCTGACAGCACCACACATACCTCGACCCCACCAGCCCACTGCAACCTCTCTGACCATCCCCATCCCCAAACCCAGACTCCTGAACCAACCCTAAACTTATCTGAACCTTCCCTATCTAAATCCACAACCCAATAACTCAAATCCCTTCAACCCAACCAAGACCCCTCCGAACCTGAGCCGAACTGAACCCAAACTTGCACTGAACTCCAAAATTTCCCATTGGAATTATTTTGCCTCCTCACTATATGTTTTTCCTTGCCCCCCCCCAAAAAAAAAAAAAAAGAAGATAGAATTAAGTATGAGCCGTAGCAATGCCATTTTCTATGAAAACTGTGGTGACGAACTCTAACAAAACTAAAGCCCTTACGCAAAATTCATCCATGGCTTAGACAATTTATGTCCTTATTGATGGAGGTCCAGCTCTTGGCAAACAAACATCATAACCCCGAAAATAAGGTGAATTGATTTTAACCTTACCCGTCTAATTGAAATTTCAACCTTTTCTCTCGTGACACTATGATTTGAAAACCGGCCACTAGCTGTTTGATTAAATGCGTGGATGACTGATGTTTCTAAATTGGTGTTCTTGAGGGTTACTGGGCGAAGGAAGGAGAAGAAGAGGACAGGAAAGGGTAAAAAAGGAATAAAAAATAGGTCGTCCCGAGCCCGCGGGCATGTTGGCGCTTGCAAGCTGTAGGACCCACCGAGTGTAAGATGCTGTTTGGCTCAAATCATTGTCAAAATCGACTAGCTGATGCTACGTTTGAGTCTTGAGCTTACTTATTTAAGACATACAATTTCACTATAAATACCCGATACGGGACTAAAATTGAGGTCTCATAATCACCCCACTTTTCAAATGCTACGACCTCTTCGTGACATGACAATTGGCACATCTTAGTAGGGCCACACGATGTGGACTCTAGCGGTGGCTCCAACTGCGCTTACGCGGTGTAGCACTTAGCTCCATATTTCCGGTTGGTAACTGTTCTGGTACCATTTTGTCATGCCCCGAGCCAGTGAGCCTATTGGCGCTTGTAAGTTGTGGGACCCATCGAGTGTAACGTGTTGTTTGTCTCAAACCACTGCCAAAATTGACTAGTCGCTGTCACACTTGAGTCTTGCGCTTAGCTATCTAAGCCAAACAATTTCACTGTAAATTTCCGATGTGGGACTAAAGTTGGGGTCTCACACCAGGTGTAAAGTTGTCTAGGGGGTTAGAAGAACAATTCTTTGGATCTAGGAAGTTTTGGTATGTTATTCTTTTTAAATCTTTGCTTGACTTGCCTGCTGCTGATTGCTTGTTTCTTCATGAGAAACAAACTCAGTCTGGGTCATTAACATAGGGACTAAGGAGTAAGGACTTTAGGGGTACTTCGATCCAAAGATGAATTTGTGAAAACTAAACTGGATCAAACTGTTTCTAGCTTAGCATTTGAGTTATTTCTTTTGAATTGTTTGTTGTTTTATGCCCTACAAAGTGTAAATGTGTCGAAGAATGAGAAAACCAGTTGGAAACTGTCATCTATCAGAAAGTAAATTGCCAAGATAATAGGAAAGTGTTACAGTTCACTTCTTGGTTTCTCTTCTTGCCTTCTTAGTACGAAAGAGTCAACAAGTTGAGTTAGTTATTGTTCCCATTTTACTCATAGGCATGCAAAATCTCAGTTGCTACAACACTTAAAAGACAAAGAAAAAGAGAAGACGGAAGCAACACATTTAAACAGGACAGGAGAAAAATTAGAAAAAGAAATAAGAATATATCTTTGTCTTTATCTTTCCTTGTCGTCCTCTTCTTTTGTTTTCTCAAGCACTCTCTAATTGGCAGTATACTGTGTTCAGAATAATAACGAAGGTTGAACTCAAGGCCCTTTTTTTCCATTTCTTTTGCAAATAGCGAAATCCTATGTTTCTATTCCAATAGCACAATGCAAAATACAGATAATCTGATAGGCAAATCGGAGTCTTTTATTTAGTTTGGGTTTGAATTTTATTTTATCTTGCGAGCAACTCCGTGTGCTAAGAAACTAAAAACTCTAGTCCATCCCCACAAACAAAAAGGGAATAAAACAATACAATACAATACAATACAAAAGTAAAAACAAAAAAAGGAGAGAAAAAAAGGAATACTCACACAAACACTATCACCACTTAAAAGAACCCGAAATTACCTGTCATATTATTCACCCACACGCTGACACACAGACAGTCTTAGAGAAAAACTGACAATGTCCTCCATCCATGCCAGACCCAATCCAGGTACGGCTAATTTTGTCTACTCTTGCCCCAACCTTTTCATCAGATAAGACTGTAAAAGTTACTTCTTATTACTTTGTAACTGATCTTAGCGTGATTTGAACTTTTATACACAAGGGTTATGGGTGTTGATTTATTTGGTGTGGAAATTTAAAATTCTATTGATCTAACAATTTTGATGTGGAACTCAACCTGTTTGTCACTTGGTTTGTTTCAAAAGGTTACAATTTGTTACAAATGCAACGTGCAAAAGATTGAATGTGATTAATAAGTTTGACCTGGTTTGTGGTTTACTCTCTTTAGTAATGCAGCTAATGTCCCATGCTACCTAGTGGCAAGATGACCAGCCTAGACAATTGCGTATGGTACTACCACCGAAATCCGTCCAATTTCAATGTCTGTGTAGAATATGCCCAAACTACTAAGATAGTGAGCTAGTGACTCATGAGTGGTGGTCTCTAGTCAAACATACGACAGATGCAGACCTCTGGGGATAGTATTCAAATTACAGCTGATGTCAGTATACAAACTCTGTTAAATGGCCAAATTAAGATACTGTTTATGGTATCGTCTTCAGGAACATTTAGGAATTAAGACACTAATCGATAGTATGTTTATGATTTTCTTACCATTTGCTAGTTCTTTTGCTGATTTTACTGATCAGGCAGTTCTGTCAAATGTTACTGATCAGACACTACTGTTAGTATGTTTACTGATTATGTTATTAATCTGCTGAGTGAAACAAGATGATGAGATACAATCCCATTGATACTCTGTGGGCCTCATTTGAAAGTGGTAGCGGATAAAAGTTAGTTTAATCTCCCAAGTTGATGTGTAGTGGAAAACTGAATTACCTTATATGTACTGGATCAGATATTTTTGTGCTGTGAGTGTAACTAGTTACTCTCTTGATGTTTTGCAAACTAGTTGTTGGGATGCTGTGGTTCACATATGGGTACCTGAAACTGCTTCGGAATGAACTGCGTATCCGGCATAGGAGTTGGTTCTTTAGATGACAGAAGGTCACTGTGTGTATATTGTGTTTGGTGGATTTTCTAGATATGATAATCAAACTTAGTATAAATATTCCTAGTAATCCAATATCTTGTAGGAGTACGAAGGATATTGGAATGGCTGTCACTTCGGATTGTGACAGGTATTGGAAATAGTGGTCGAACAATACACTAATACAATCAAACCAACAATTGGCAGATCGTCTCCATGAAATATTGGATGTTTCAAGTTTAAGATAAATTTGAAAGTTGAAACAATCTAGGGATTTACATCATCCAGCTTTAGAGGATGTTACTCGGTATGGTGCAGTAGCTAGTGCTGATACAGTTATATAACTTTTCAGTGTGTATGTAACTAATGCATGTACTTATATGTTATGTTTGCTATGTGCATACATTTGTTTGTGTATGTATATATGTATATATGTAATGATGCATATAGTGTTATATATTTATCCAAGATTTAGATATTGTCATCCAAAATTTAAAACAGTGCTTTTTTAGATTGAATGTCCACACCTTTGAATGTGATCTATTATATGTAAACTACATAGGAACTCAAAACTTAAATGATTTTGTGGAGATCCATCATGCATTAAGTGCCGACCAAAATGTTCAAATTTTTTCTGGATTTGGTTAATCTTTCAGTTAATGCAACAATAAAAAACTTGTCAAACTCATTTGAATTTCGTTTCTACATTTGGAAGAACTATTCTAGCTGATCGTATACTGTTGCTAGTGAACTATTTCAAGTTTTCAACTATTATGTTTGTTCTAAGAGAGTGATTCACATCAGGAATAAACTGTGTAGTTCCGTATCAGTTATTTACATGGAAGTTCTTTAGAACCTCGATCATGCTTTATGATAATTCCATCAAATCATAGCTGTTCTTTCTGTCTGTCATAAATATGTCCATGTTATATGACCTCTTAACTATAGCACAGCTGTCTCCCGTTACATTTCACATATTCAACACTTTAGCTTGATCTTTTCTGAAATATTCGCTTTCATGTATGAATGGGACGATGATGATTGCTTTGATTACTTGGCTTTCAGTTGCGTGGTGCTGCACATGCTGTTGGAGAAGCTACTCTGGAGAAAAAGTTTGAAGCAGCCAGTGATAGCCTCCGACGAGGGATCATGTTTGCCAACTCCTTGTATTTGTGACATGCTCATTGAGTTTCTTCTCTGTACTTATATGTTGTTGTTCAGTCAGTGGCCTGCTGTGTTCTTGGGTCCCATATGCAAAATCATGGTTTAAGTTCCCGTGGAGAAGCTCAAGTTATGTGTACCCACACTCAGGACGGCAAAACTTCTCAGGGCAGCTTAATTACTAGTACTAGATTACTAGTAATACTGCATTAGTTGCTGACTTCTCATCTAGCAAAAAGTGTACAACTGTTGAGGAGAGGAATATTGATGTAAGCGCGTCTCAGGATTGAGAAAAACGATACCTAATCGTTTGTTAATTGAAAATTTGATTTATCATGGTTTACTGTACTCTTTTGTTTGTGTGTTGTTTTCTATCCAGCCTCAGTTGTGGAGGGTGGCTGGACCGTCTATACCTTTCCTGGTAGCGATAAACTTGAGTGCAGTGAGAGAAATAAAAATGGGTGCAATGAGCCCAGCGCACGAAGCGCAGGCTGTGGTAATATTGCCAATACCCTATATCTCTGGTTGGATCCCTATCTATCTAATTTAGAGTGGCAATGGGAGAAGCTAAACAAGTTCATTTTACGGGAATTTGACGTTTGTGTTACAAATGCACAATTTTTTTTTGTCATTTAGTTACAAAATTAAAAAAAAATCAATATACCAAATTGTTATTTAGTTACAAATGGGGAAAACAATCATTTAAGGTACTAGAGGAGGATAAAGTTCGAGTGGTTTCTTCCAGGGTGGCAGTGTGGAGGAACCAAACGTGTGCAGCTTGATGTTCGAAGTAGTACCTTTTGTGAGGTTAGAAATTCCAGTTGCAGCCTTGATGTCCCCTTTTTATTAGCCTGTTTGATGCATAATGCAATTGAAGCAGTTACTCTGCCGACTGTTTCCATCTGTTCGCCTGATGATCATTCTCTTCCCGTTATTGCAAATATTTCCATAGACGACGACGCATGAGAGGACACAGTGAACAACTGAGAGTGCCTGTTTGCATGATTGAGAACATAGCCAATGAATGTACATATGCTTGTCATTTTGTAGCGCGTCCAAATTTCATATTGTCGAAAATATACACAATGCCTAAGTCTTACTTACTGGTTGGCATGGAAGTGATTCACCTTCAAGATACAGTTTCATTAATGTCACGGTCTGCCCAAACCAAAATGAGAACTGTGCAGACGTTACCAAATTATTTAAATTCAGTACAAAATTAAGCACACAGAACTGTGCTCGAAATCATGAGAACGCAAGAGCAATGCAGCAAAAACATACGCTACGTTTACTAGGAACGGGGAAGAACTCAACTATTATTCATCCACAGAATTACTGATAGTAGCAGAAAAGTAGTTAAATATAACATTGACATGTTGATTTGCTTTACTTCATGATAAGTTTCTTTATATTCGATAACTTCATAATTAGTGTTTCGATCATACATCAGATGTCATACAACTTCCCCATATATTTATAGTGCTTACACCACTGGTTTTGGTGGGTTAAATCTAAAAACCGAGGGGACAAAACTAGAACCAAAAGGAGAAAAAGAAGTAGGCATAACGTGAACTGATACCACAAACATGGCGATGCTCGCTGTATTGTCTTCCCTAATCCCTCATTGACCACCTTCATCCTAGACTCTTTCGTTATCATCTCGAATCTGCCACAGTCATTTCTTGGAGGTGGGGAAGGTGCATGATAAGGGGATGTGACTTGAAAGCAATGTGAGCTCCAGCTATTTTCTTCTCTCTTTTAAGTCTCCTAAGCTCCTTTCTCACCTCTTTTGCAAGCTCAATCACATAATCATCTTCATGACCTGCACACAAGCCTATTATAGTAAGCTTCGCTACACTGCAACAAAAGAACAGGGGGGAATGGAATGAACAAAAGGAGGCTTAATTGCATATGGACCCCCTTGTACTATCCCCATTTACGGATAGACCCCCCTAGTTCTATTTGTGAAGATAGACTCCCTCAGTGAACTGTTTCGACACTTTTAAGAGTTTAAATAAATAGCAATTGGGTGTCTATCCTCACCAATAGAACTACAGGGGGTCTATCCATCTCAAAACTTTCCTGACTCTTTAAGAGAGAGAAAATTCACTCAGGGGGTCTATCCGCACAAACAGAGCTAATGAGGTCTATCCACAGTTAACCCATAATATAATGGTGGCAATTTATTGGTTAATTCTCCAGTTTATTGAAAGCGCTTTATGTCAGATGCTGCATGTGTGCACATACCACATATGCGCTACTTGCTTTCGGGGGCTATGACATGGTGGGCTGCAGTTTGTAAAACATATGAAATACAAAGCATAAAGATATGCCAAAAGTGGATACTCATACAAATTATCAACTTGTTTTTTTCTTTTATTCTGGCACTGAGGGAAACTCATTCATCTTGTTAGTGGTGGAACCGATTGCAGACTCAACATCTTTCTCTCTCTATTTCCTTTTTTTTATTAGGGTGGGTGAGTTGTGGGGTAGGGTCGCAGGGTTTTTAATTAATACGAATATTGTTTATTTATTTTATTTTATTTATTTATTTATTTTTTGGGTGTGTGTGTGGGTGGGGGGGTGTTTACAAGGGCATGACTATGTGAGCTTCGTGTTTCTGCTTTACCCTCATATAGGGCAAGCATACTCCACTGTTCAAATTCAGTGGCTATCAAGCACTGAGAGTTGTATTAACTGGGAGCTGGTCATCAAATCTGGGCCTAACCTTTCAGGGAGTCATGGGCTGACAGTCCAACCTCACAGTCCTCACCAATGGGAAATGCTTGGAACGGTGGTTTGTGCATCATTTTATTGTCATAGAAGTAAATTCATGAAAGGATCTTAAAAAAGGGAAAAAGAGGGCAACCAGATTATGATTTTTTGTTATTAAAAAGTTGAAGCAAGTATTGAAATGTTCATACCTATATCAAACATTGCCTTCTCTAGCAAAAACAGGTAGTCTCTGTTGTTCCCGCAAGGTCCATGTGCAGTAGCAATTTGCCTGAAATATTTGAAGGAATAATAGTTTAGAGAGAAGGAATATTGGAAGGATAATGCAAGGGCTAGATGCATGCTGGGAATTGAAAATTTTTCTGCAGGCAATTTTGCTAATTCACCTGGCCATCTCCTCCAAGGGGGCTGGGCCTAGATAATACTTGTTACTTTCCTTGTCAGGAGTTGAAGTGAATCTGTAGAAATAAGAAAACTAGTTTCTTACACTTTGGATAATATGAGGTAGGAAAACAAGTTAGGCGAGGTTACTGATCTCAATTGCAGGAAAAGGAAAATGCTCAAATGTTCATGCAAGTTATGCTTCTTACACTAGAACTCCTGAAACAGCTGGAATGAGATCATCTCCCTCCTGAAAAAGAAATACCCAGCACACATGAGAAGAAAAGAAATGGTACAAGAAAATCTATAGGAATGCAGGATGGAGAAAAGATAAGACTACAAGAAATTATTATCTCCACGTACCAATTATTAGATCAGAACAACTGAATGTTTGAGCTCACCTTGTAGAAGTTGACGGATGATTTAATGTCATATTCACATTCTCTTCTCTCTAGATACTAGGAAGATTAAAAAAAATCAATTAGGTCTGGATCACGGATTTTCAGTATGCAGGCAACCGAAAAAACAATATATATGCAGTACCTGCATTGCTGCTCTTTCCTTTTCTCTGTCTCCTTTGATGCAGAATGCAGCACCCCACTGACAGAGAACCAATAACATGTCATGCATAGCAAAAGAAATTTAATGCAATGCGATTATTTCTTCCAGTAAAGGAAGAAGGATAAAAGTACATAGAACAAAAGTCCCGAGGCAGAGTACACTGTTATCATCAGTGGGACAACTTTTCAGTTAACATACAGATGTAGGGATAGTACAACATCAAGGTTATCAATAATGGATAGCGTCACGTAGCGGTGAGACATCGCTAAGGCTATTTGGGGCTATTGAGGTAAAATAGCGGTAGAAAGAGCAAAGTCAAATAGCGGTCTAATTTAGATATATATAAATATTTAAAAAATTTAAAAAAAAATCTAGAAAATCTAAAAGTGCATATTTGATGATTTAAAGAGATCCTAAACATGAAATAAACATGAAATAAATATGTAACCATCACAACTAGAGGAGTCAAAAAGTCGTCGTCTTCGAGAAGATAAGCTGAGCGGTGAGAAGACTAAAGGCGGTGGGATGCAGTGGTTGCGGGTTGGGTTTAATTTAAAAAAATTAAACCTCAAACCGATTTTAAATAATGATCAAAAAGCGGATTTTGCCCGCAATCGCTAGCTATTCACCGTTATGACACGCTATTGGCCGTTTTTACGAGCGAAAAGTGCATATTCCGCAATATGCCACCGTTATTGGGCAATAAGAGCGGTGGGCGATAACTTAGCAGAAAGGAACCGCTAACGCTATTAGTGCCGCTATTGCAGGGCTATTTACCACTATTTATAACAGTGTATAACATCTGGTAAGTCACTCTCTCGTTAAGTTGTCCCCTTACATATATCTCAAGATTATCTTTCCTTCTGTTTATTATGTGCAACATACAGAAGCATGACTTACCATTTCTCTACAGCAGATTATAATTATGTTTTTCAAGAGTTAATCACCTCTTATGGCAATGGTAATCACCTCTTATGACATTGGCTTTTAGATGATAATCACAAGAGTTCTCTCTATAAATAGTGAGGAAAAAATAAAAATATTACAACTTTCAATTTTAATTTTTGACTTACATGGAAGCCTGAAATAGGAAATACACGCTTAAAACTACCATGTCATAGAAGAAGAATCACTCACAATCTTGAAGAACAGTTCCATCTGTTGCATAAATTTCTCTCGGTTCATTTGCAAAGAAGATGTAAGTAAACCTCCCCGTACTCTCAGAAAGCTACAACTATTTGTGTAAAAGGGGAGGAAGCAAATTTTTATAGGAAAAGAACTGTTTTACACTGCAAAAAGCAGTCTTCGTGTATCATGCAGAGGGGAAGATCAGTATGAAAAAAGGACGAGAAGAGAAATTTAGAAGATATCTAAAAAGAGGTCAACATAATTTCATAGAGTCCAGGGATGGACTGAAGGACTACTCAGGAAACATGAGCAACAAAGAAAATTTTAATATATTACTGGTACAAATAAAAGTTTCTAGGATGACAATAGTGCATCATTGTGTTTTCCAGTTCGCTCAAAACAGTAATAGCCAAAGCAATTGCATAAGAAGCAATTTTCTTGTGAACAGGAAATACATAATAATCTTCCTTATATAGCATGAACAATGAACCAAGCAATTAGTTTTATGCCAAATTCAATAAGCTAATAAAAGTGGCTAACGAATGAATAGCAGTTACAGTCTAAGTTCAAGATATGCATACGCAAACTGCTCCTTCCATGGCTTCCAAGGTGCAGGTTCTAGCTGGATATTCAGGTGTCCCTCTGTGATCTATGCAAGCTAAAAAGACAGACAGGCAAATCCAAACTATCAGCCTTGTTTATAAGTTAAAAAACAAAAACTTGAAGATTAGATAAGGTGGAGCTTACCAAGATCGAATACACGCCTGTAGTCCTTGATGAATCCTATGATTTTCTCATCGAAATCAAAACCGGGATTCCAGACTAGCGATCCATACCCAAAAACCCACAACACCATTCTCACCTTTTCGTTCTTTTCACTACAATATTTGAGATAGACATAAGTAAACTCTCCTTCGACTCTCATATATGTTTAAGTTCAATATAAAGAATAATGTCATCCAAATTGTCTTTACAAAAGTCAATTATTGTCAACAAGTAATTTTATAACCTACATTTGGAAGTAGGGTCGGAGTACCTAGGCGCCACCCTCTAGCAAAAAACCCGGTATATACTAGGTTATAACCAGTTTGTGACACCACTATAAAATTGGTTAGTAGTGACCCATTTAAGATTTCTCTCTAATGGGCCAAACCTTAAATGACTCAATCCCAAAACCCAATGTATTAAATACTAGTTAACATCATTTTAAAAAAGCAAAATAAACAACTAACTTATATTGTAATGATGTATTTACTGTTTAGAGAATGAGGCTATATTGCAATGATTCAAAGCATGGGAACACATAGGGGGTAAATTGTAAATGTAGTTAGGTAAAAACATCATTTGTATCTCAGTAAGTTCCTAATTATATTGAATATCATACTCCTTTAAAAGAACGAGTTCGGATAAATCTTTCTATGGTCAATATTATCCTTCACCATTTTGAATTTTATTTAAATCTTAATTTATTCTAATCATAATTATATCCTATCTTAATCCTATATGAGCTACCTATAGCTCAATAATTAAAAAAAAATAAGATTGATAAAATACATAAAACAGCTCCACGATAATAGTTTGTTAAGGTAAAGAACTAACATACTATAATATATGAATTATTATTAAAAAACCAAAATTTTTTTAGAAATTACATAAAATACCCTCAAAAGTTAAACTTACACAAAATCATTTCAAAAATTTAAACAACAAACATGAAATCTGAAAATTAACAACAACCTCTGAAGAATTTAAAATTTGCAATGAATACCCTCAACATTTCAAATATTTTAGGAACACCCTAAAAAATTCAAATAATAAAAAAGCGACAAGAAATTCTAAAATTTTAAAATTGCAAACCAACAAAGATGAATTCAGGGGGATTACCATCCGGCACCTAAAAATTTAAAATTTGGAAACAATAACCTCAAAGTTATAAAAATTGTAAAACACTCCTTCAGAAGTTAAAAATCACAAAAAATCTTAAAATTTCAATACATATAACTAGTATATATCAAATCTAGAAATTATTAGCAGACCGCTGAAAATTTAAACTTTACAAAAAACAATTTAAAGTTTTGATAATTACAAAAAAATACCCTCAAAATTTCATACCCTCAAAATTTTAGAGTTGCAAGAAATATCATGACATTTGAAAACTTACTTTAAACACATGAAACACAGAAATTACAAGTACCTAACTTAAAGATTAATTTTTTTAAAAAACACTCTCAAGGTTTTAAAATTTACAAAACACACCCTCAAAAATTCAAAATCACAAAAAGACTAAAATTTCAAAACTTAGCAAAGAAAAGAGTAGCTGTTTAATATTCTTTCATTAAGATATATAAATTTAACTTCCAATTTAAGACTTACTATTCCTTTTTAGCATTGAAAAGTAGTCTAATTTTATCAAAAAGATAAATGTAAAGAAGGATTGATATTAGTTCAATAAATAAAAAACAGAAGGAATGAAAGACACTATTTTTAAAATATTTTATAGAGTATTTTAGTTTTTGGGTAAATTAGGAATCTTTAGAATATATTTTCATAAACTTTTTTAGTACTTTTTTATGCTTATGTGGATGCTTTCATCATATAAAAGTGTACTAGAATTAACATTAATCTTTAGTTTATGATTTTTTAAAAGTCTATTAAGAATTAGGAATAAACTCCATATTCTCTTTTGTGCCGTTTCAAGCCACTTTTAACTAATTATCTTGTCTTACTAGCTTTAATTATTTATCTTCCTTTTAAAATGTTATTTTTAAGTATTTTCTACTTTTACAATACTATATTTTCTCAGGTCAAGCTTGGTATCATGTTGGTCCAAATAACATGATAATTCAAATTGGCTTCAAATTATATTTGTTTCCTATCAATTTAATTATAAATATGAAAATTTAAATTGGGTGTAGTTCATTTAAATGAACATTAAAGAAAATAAGTAATCAGAATGATAAAAAGTTTAGAGACATGAGTGTGCAAAAACCATCAAAATGGAATGGAGGAACAAATTTTAGTAAGAATATAAATTAAAAATAGGTAATTATGTTATTTAACTACGTGCGTTGCACGTGCATAAAACCTAGTAAAAGAAAAATGATGAGTAATATCTTTTTTTAATAAAATCGTGACATCAATATTTCTGCTTGGATGGATCAAATGATTCAATTAGAGACCTTCAGATAATTACTACCTCTGGACCTTCCCAAGATACCAACTTTCCTTAAAAATCAAGCTTAATAGCTCAAAAAAACCATGAATAAAGGTTATGTTTCTCAAATCAATTCTGATTCGATTCATCTACTACACAAGAAATATGGTTTCATTTCATCCACTGACCTAGGGTTTGCACTTTACCTTTTCCCTGAGCTTCTAATAGTAAATGTCAACTAAAATCACATCAATGAGCAAGATCGAATCAGCAGTTCAAAAGGCATTCTACAAACAGCGAAAGAAATGAACAAAATTTCTCGCGATTTCTCACCTAAATCGAGGGTTTCAGAATCGAGAAATTGGGGATCTAGTTCGGCAATGGAGCTCGATCGATCCCGAGAGAGACAACAACAAGAAGGAGAGAGATTTTGAATCGAAGAGGAAATGAAAGATTAGGGTTTGCTCGCGCCTCTCTCTCTCTCTCTTCTTTCTCTCTCTAGGATTTTAGTTTGGGTACGAGAGAGGAGGAACAGTGAAGGAGTCGGGGTGTTATTTATATCGCGAGGGCGATGAACTCGAATGCCACGTATGCATGGTTAGCACATGTATCTTGCATGTGGAAATTCCCTTTGGCCCCTTGAAAGTATCTGGATTACATAAATATCCCTCTAGATTATATTGCACGTAAGAAATTGGATGCTGATCAAATTTTAAGATTTGATGTATATAAATGAAGGATTTCAAATTTTATTTCTACTTTTTTAAGCGTCCATATAGGCATATAAGGTTTTCAAATATGTTAATAGTATTTTGAGTAAATCTTAATTAGAGTTTGTTTACATAACATACGTCCAAATAACTATAGCCTATATACACACACACAAATATATAATAACTTGAATGTATAATACTTTAGCAACTCATTAGTGATGTATGATACTTTAGCAACTTGCTAGTTAAGATTGTGAAGAGATGCACCGGCATTGTTCACTTTAGCAGTTTAATTTATAATTAATTATACTAGTATTTTGCGTATTTACTACTGTATTTTACATTTCGCATTAAATTGAAATAACTTTTTATCTTTTCTCATTTTCCTTAGTGATTTCTTTTTTCAGTTTTTACTTTTTATCTTTTAACCCACCTTTATTATCCCATTTCCCTTTTTTGTGGATCATCTTTAACTTGTCCTCGTGTCAAAGAGATCCCATTCCCACACAAAATGAATGAAATGGGCACCAGTAAACGTGGACCGCAGGACCACTATACTGGGCCACAGACCCAAAACCGACAAATGGACGTGACATCGCTCACCTAATTTAAATTCTCTCATTTTAATGCAAATAAATGAACGAGTATCCTGCGTTCAATGTGATACGTTTGAATTAATGCATGAGATCTAGACCGTTGGTGTGATAAAGCGTCCATGTGCATTGAACCTTAGATTTCATTCTGCTGAATGTACGGTCAACCACTTATGCTTGAAATTTAAGCATCCGGTTTGAATATCATGATGTTTTACTTATTTTTATGGTGTTTTTGTCAAAAATAAAATACCATGTGTTTAGAAACCGTGGTATTTTGTGAGCTAAACCATCAATAAATTAAAAACACAACACTTATTTTAAAATATCTTTTAGATGTTTTAAGTTTGATATTTTGATTTTGAGTTTGATAATGTGTTAATATAATATCTAACATAATATATTAAATATAATTAATATAGAGTTATTAACAAAATACTTATTATATTATACTATAGTATATTATAATTAATCTAATATATTAGTAATGTTTATTAAATAATATAAAAATAAAATAAATAAAATAAATAAAATATCATATATAATAATATAATAACATAGTAAATACTAGTATTTAATATGTTAATAATATATTATATAATAATAAATAATAATAATATATAAATAAACTAATAATAAATAAATAAGTTATTGACAATAAATAATGATATAATGACATAATAATATACTATGCAATAGTATAATCGTTATAATATTATAAGAAAATAACAATATACTAATAATATTATAATAATATATTGTATAGTAAACGTAACGTANTATTATATTATATCAATAATAGTATAATATTATATTAATAATAAAATATTATTATTATAATAATAATAAAAAATTGATATACCAAAATAATTAAATATATAATTATTCAAAAATAATATGTAATAATTATAATATAATATAACTCATTAAAGTACAATATAATATTATAATACATTATAAAATATTATATTACATTATATTTATTACTTATAGTATTATAATAATTTAAACTAAATATTATAACTTTTTATTTATAATATATTTCATTATAATTAATATATAATATATTAATAATATGTTTAACACTAATGTTGTAATTGGTCAAACTAGTGCTGACCAAATTACTTAACATGGTGTTTTGAAAACAATTTAATGAAAAAACACAACACCATGGTGTTTTTTTTTACAAAAACACAATAAGAAAAATATCATGGTGTCCAAACATAGCCTGAAGTTACGCGTTGAGCGTTGCCCACGTCGCACGAAGATGAGTAAACAAAATCGTCTAGATTCACTTTACCCGAGCTTTTAGGCATTACTGATGCTAGTGGAAGACTGAAATGCCTTTGATCTTAGGGGTGTTTGGTTCATCCATTTTATAGAAATGACGTAGATCATCTATCCAACTAGGTAATGTCGTATTTTTTGGATAGCGAACACCATAGCGAGACACTCCTTCTCGATCATAGGATATCGAGATTCAACCCCTACCAATGTACGACTCAGATAGAACATTGCCTGTTCATGACTGTTGTCATCATCCTTTGCAAGTAAAGCACTTAATGAGTGGTTCGTCGCTTTGACGTAAATCAAAAAAATGGTTAACTCGATTTCGGTGCAACGAGATTAGGAGGATTCGCTAGATATGCTTTGATGTCTTCAAATACTTTCTGATAGGCATCATCCCAAATAAATGATACACCCTTCTTTGCGAGCTTGGAGAATAGTTGGCATTTTTCGGAGAGGTTCGAGATGAACCGACGAATATAAGCCAATCATCCTTGTAATCCCCTGAGTTCTTTGAGGTTCTTCGAGGGTTACAGTTCGTATACCGCCTTCACTTTTTTGGGATCAATATGGATACTCCTTGTCGTGACATTGAACCCAAGGAATTTACCGCTAGACATTCTCAGGAAGGATTTGGTAGGGTTCATCTTCAATTGGTGACTCCGCATGAGATCGAACATCGTCTTTAGGTCTTTAATGTGGTCGTCTTTGTTGTGACTTTTCAAGACCAAATCATCAACATAACACTCGACGGTCTTCCATAGGTGTTCCTAGAAAATCTTCATCATTGCACGTTGGTATGTAGCGCTTGCATTCTTCAAGCTGAAGGGTATGATAGTGTAGCAGAATACGCCAAGGGGCGTTCTGAATGCGGTATGTTTTCATCGTCAGGGTACATCTTGATTTGATTGTAACCCGAAAATCCATCCATAAAGGACATCCTCTCGAATCCGCATGTGTTGTCAATGATGACATCTGTGATCAGAAGAGGGAAATCATCCTTTGGGCAAGCGGTGTTCAGGTCTCTGAAGTCGATGCAAATCATGATTTTTCCATTCTTTTTAAGAATCGAGACAATGTTCGCTAGCCATTCGGGATCTTGTTCTTCCCTGATGAAGCTTGAATCGATTAATTTTTTGACTTCTGCCTTAATCACCTCCATGATCTGCGGACGAAACCGTCTCTGTTGTTGTTTGACAGGTTTGACATCCGGTTTGATATTGAGGCAATCCATTGTGACATTTGGGTCAAATCCTGGCATGTCCTCGTAATTCCAGGCAAAAACGTCGATATATTCACTAATGAGGAAAATTAACTCTTCTTTCTCGTCTGGTGGAAGACTATCGCTGATGAATATGAGTTTCAGATTGACCTCGTCGCCCATGTTCACTTGGATCACTTTGTCTTCAATGAGAGGTTCTCTTTGTTCAAATCGATCACCATATTGCATATTCAAGTGATGGATCCAAGGGTCTTCCCAAGTTGGCATTTGACTATCTTCCTCCGTTGTGGTAGGATCATAGCCATAGTCGACATTAGGCCTTTGAACATTTCTCCAAGGTTGACATCGGAATCCCAATCTGTAGAATCTGATGAATATCCATCTTTACTCGGATAGGATGACTGGTTGATGACTTTCCAACAACATTCGTCATCGGATGAAGAAACATAACCTAGACCTCTCTTATATTCATAATAAATATCAGGCTTCCCTCTAGGTACATCGGCGGGACGGGGTGTAACCCGAATACCTTGACCAAAATGAAGACCTTCACCGAGCGTGAGGTTGTATCCTTGCTTCTTCATATAGTCACATGCTTGTTGATTAGGGTCTTATGCTAATCTAATCCGATTTTATACCAATTTAAAACTAATTAATAAGTTATCCTAGTAAGTATGAAATACAACAATATATATGAGCTAGGATAAGCAATATGAACAAATGAATATATCTTAGCAATAAGATATTACAAATATATGAGCAAGGATATATAAACTAACACAAGGGTAAAATAAACAATCTACAAAAGAGATAGGGCAATACGAAGAGCAATATACAAAGGCGATATAAGATACGAATACAAGAATAACGCCAACGCAATCACAAACAAAACGATATGATCACAGAGTTCGGTCTAACCACTTGACCTACGTCTCCGCTCCTCACCTCGAGGAGATCTCCACTATCACAACCGGGTTTTCTACGTTTACCCAAATAACGTTTACACCATACAATACGGTTTTTTAGTTTACCAAAAACTCTACAACTAACACACTCTTGTAATCCCACTCTACACCCTCTCAAGCATTGAACTAGACGTGTCTCCCTCAAGTGCTCAGATACAACCTCTCCCTAGGTTCGTCAACTGACGCCACTCCTCTTGGGATGATCCCCGACTCTCGCCACACACTTCTCTCGGTGTACAAGTGTATTACAAAATGATCTCACAATTAAGCATAATACAAAGTGTTTGTTCTCTACAATGGATGAGAACGAATTATAAGCTCACTCTCTAAGTTACACAATCCTACAACCCAATTATATTATGAATGTAAATACAATAAGGTCAATGGTTGTGTGTGAGTAAATAAAGAGAAAATAAAATCAACTAAACTCAATATGAACACTAGCTTAATAAAATGATAATCAAACAATATAAAATATAAAGCTAGATTGAGTTTAGAAAACTTCTCAATAGATCAAGAGGTAGAGGAGAAAGGTTGAAGCTCAAATATCAATGAATTGATCTCTACTTCCTCTTGTGGAATTCTTCACAAACCAAACCCTTAAACAAACTTAAAACCAAACTTAAACTCTTTTAAAACTTATTTAAAAACTTCTTGGATAGCCATGAGAACTAAGATCAATGGGGTATTTATAGCCTCCCAAAACCTTAGCCAAAAGCCCAACAGAAATAACCAAAAACCAACAGAAT